GGTGGGGGCTCTGAAGTCCAGGCCAGACGTGGCAGCTCTCACGGGGCCTTTGAGTCCAGCTGGATCCGTTTATCTGACCTTTGATCTGGGATCTGAAGAACTGAACTCAGACTCTGTCCTCCTGCAGATGAACACACTGCATGCTGGGAAATGTAGTCCGTCTGTTTTCTTCYTCTTATCCAGGGTCAGGTCTCGGGGGCAGCAGCCTCAGCAGAGACCCAGACCTCCCTCTCTCCAGACTCTTGGACCAGGTCCTCTGGACGTGGAGGAGCAGCGGCTCTACTCTGACGGAGCGTCTCACCAGTCCTGCTGTCCACTGTCTAATGTCCCTGTCCTGTCTTCTTTACAGGACTGTGGTCTTCTGGTCCAGCCTGGTCTCCCCTGTGGTCTTCAGCCGTACATCCAGTCTCAGGGTCCAGTTCAGGCCTGCAACTCAGGACATGTCCCAGGTCTGATGTCCTGCAGCTGGGCGGAGCCTCTAAAGACAGATCTCTGTCCTTTTTCAACACCTGTCTCACCTGTCCATTATTTGTCCTGTCTCTGCCTCCTCCTCCTGTGTTTTACCTGTCCCTGTCCTACCTGTGTCTGTCTCGTCTGTCTCAGGACGGTGGGTGGTCCCATGTCTCAGCTGCTCAGACAATAGGACATGTGATTGGAGGGCTGTTGCCTGGCAACCAGACAACTGTACCCACCCACTGGTGCCCCGCCCCCTTCTGCAGGACTGTCTGAGGGACAGGAAGGTGAGGTCCTGAGACCAAACATCRTCATCAGCCAGTAGTGTTCCTCCTGATGGACTCTCAGGGGTCTGTCCTCAGGTGCTGTTCATTGGGGACTCGACCAATCGTGGGATGATGTTCTTCCTGATGGAGCGGGTCAACTCCAGCCTGGAGGACTGGGGAAAAGCTCATGACACCCTGGTGTACCAGAACCTGAATGGGGGACGAACCCAGATCAGCTACTCCTACTATCCTCAGTTCTGGTTGGACAAAAACCAGAGACCCACGTTCAGGACAGCACTGTTGCAGCTGATCCACAGGTGAGAGAAGGTGACCTGGCCAAGTGAGTTCCAGTCAGAACCTGTTAATGTCCTCTGTCCATGTCTGTCCTCTGTAAAGGTCTCGCCCTCTGCAAAACTCTGTCCAGACGGTTCTGGTGGCGGGAGGAGTTCAGTGGCTCAACACCAATCACCTGAGGACAGTCCAGGAGGTGTTGGACAGGTAAACACACACAGAGACAGGTAACGACACCACCACATAACTGGACTGAGGGTTTCGACCTGATGTCCAGGTCTAACTCTTGTCTCCATCTTCAGAGAGTCTCTGGAGAACATCCTGGTGGTGGTGAAGTCCTTGGGGATGGGGTTCCACCTTCCTGTGGACGGGATCAGATCTCTGAGTCTGGTTGGTTTGGGTTTGGGAATGTTATGGCAATTTTTATTTAACAAAGACAGAAATACGTGGTCCAAGAATGAAGGTACTCCATGAGATGATCAGCTGAGTTTTAT